AGAGCAGTTTAACAACGATGACTTCGAACATCTCAACAAGGCAGAGCCCTGGTCTTAAGCATGGGATACAATAACTTTACCTTCAATCCCAGAACATGAACCCAGAAACCAACCAAGGCAGAAGAGACCAACACAAGAGACATTGAGCGGAACAGTGATTTTACGACATCGCCACCACATGTTATCGCAGGGATACAAGCTAGAACTACAACACAAAGAGCACCAGCACGGCAGCAGGAGACCCCCGAACCGAAGGCACCCATAGCCACACCAACGCTGCTTCCCCACCCGCACTGGAAATCGAAGCAGTAGTCGAAGCTGTTACTTCACACTCTAGGAATGATCCCATCGCCATTTAAACAGATAGCCAAGGAGCCGTCGGTGACTTTGGAAACAATACTCTACCTCACTCGTCATAACCGCGTTATCAAACACCCCTACAGAATGCCCCTATGCAAAAGTCACTACCGCACGAGTCACTGGGCACATAGGAATTGAAGAGAACAATAGAGCCAAGGTTTTAGCCTGAGGAGGCGACCCAACAGGCCCTTCAACTCTCTGGCCGACAACCTACGATCACAGAAGGACACTACGCGAGTCCAGAGTATGCACACTAAAAGAACTTAGAGACAATAGGGAGTTTTAGAATAGCGCACGCTAAAGTTTTGCGCACGCAAAGAATAGCGTTGTCGCCAGTGCGCATGCTCCGAACGCAAACCAGGTTTTGAGCTTTGCGTGCACAATTTTAGCGTACGCTATTTCTCGGAAATAGCCTGCGTACGCAAAGAGTCTTTGCGCTTCTCCAAGGAGGATTCGTAATGACAAGTTGGCTAAAGCCAAGACAAGCAGAGTTAAAAAAATGGCGGCTTGCAGGATTACTTTGGCGACTGCTTTGGCGGCGTCGTGGGTATGACGTCGGCGGCATCTTCGCGACTGCGATATTCAATACGGGACGACATTGTACTCGGTTTGGCAACGATCACCGGCAACTTGATGCTTGCGACGCGCGAACATTTTTCGGCGAAGGTATGATGTGCAAAGATCAGTACACGAGACCCCTCTTGCCGAGGCGACGCAAGCGGACACGACAGGTCAACCGCTCGCATCGCATTCTCATGTTTAAACAAATCTAAAATGCTACTCTGGACCAAAAAACTTGGTTTTTTTCTATAGTTACAGCATTTCGTGTGTGAAATAAAAATTGTTACTGTATCTTGGTGGTGCCGCCAGCGCCGCAAGCGTAAGATGCTTGGGCTTTTGCGTCGTAGCGGAGAAACGCTATTCTAAAACTCTGTTGCGTCGCGTGCGCTAATACAAGCGCTAAATTTAGCGCTAGCGTGCGCTAAAATTGCGCACGTTATTCTAAAGCTCCCTAATGTCACAGTCTTTAAAAGCTCGCCACATGTATTTAGCAGAGAGGACGCCACAATTGTCAGATGCGCACAAACCAACATACCGTTCACAGAACGTCAGGAACGCTATGCTAGCAGCGCACCACACACAGCCAAATGCACACGCTGCGGCCTCTACCCTGATAACAAACATCAGCCGTGGGAATGCCCAAAAGTTGCTCCCATCACCAAAACCACACTCGACACCCCTGCCACTAACACTTAAGTCTGGGAGCTGGGGGGGATGAGTAACCACCCCTTCTGGCAGCGAACCATATCTTTGGTCACTCCTAGTCCAGCACATGAAGAATGTGCTGGGCGAGGAGTGTTAACCATGGGCAGTAGACTTGGTGATCCCATAAAACATTTACTCTCTCTCTCTTCACCTTGACAAAGATCCTCCTTTAGACGAATATTTGGTTAAAGATATGAAAAAAATAAGTGTGTTAATCTAAACTATTGTGCACCATAGACTCCAAATATCAAAAAATCTGTTTTAAAATTTACTTCTTTTTTTCTCTGGAAAGTTCCATTTTAAGTTGTAACAAAAAAGTAATGTGATATAAACCACGGTCTAAGTTACACTTTAAAGGGCAACTCCGCTTCATTTTTGATATTTAGAAAACTATGTAGCCCTCTTCAGTACCATATAGGAAGACCCCACGTCAAATATTACGATCTAATTCCGTTTATTTATTTAATAAACTGGCCGGCAAACCTTCAAGCGAGCCAAGTCGCCGAAATCTGCCAACTCCAGCGTGCGGCGCGAGGCGCAATCATCAGCGCAGTCAATGCCACGGAGTTGGAGCGGCCAACGTTGAGCCACTACGTCAGAGGCATGTACGTCATTCTCACGTTTTGCTGGTTTTTATTTCTCAGAGCGAAATGCAACGATGACGTCATGAGTTTCTCCTCCCGGTGTTGGCTGACCGGGCGTTCACGTGATCACCGTAACACGGATGCGCTACTCCCCCCCCCCCCCCCCCCTTCTCTTTCGTCTTTTCCCTTCCCCCTCTCACCCAGGCCATCACCGTCCACGCCACGCGAAGCGACCTTCCCGCGTCCGATAAAAAAAAAAAAAAAAAAACCTGCTTGCGTCGCTTGTTCTGTTTCTCGCTCTCTCCCGAACGTCACAAGACCACGTGGTTCGACGTGACGCGCATGCCTTTGACGACCCGAGACCGATGTTGCCTGACGCAACCGAAGTTTCGGTTTCGGTATCTGCTGACGTTTAAATTAGGATTACACAAATATTATTCCACATTTCGCGAATCCGAAGACGTAGAGTTGTTGAGTATTACTTTGTGAATGTGAATCACATGGAAGCCTAAATTTTTCGGAATTGAGCGGAGTTGCCCTTTAATGCAGCTTGATTTTTCTCTTCTCGCTTGGAAGCCAGATTTTTTGCTTGCACCACACCAGTGATGCGGAGTTGACACTCCGGAGTTGGAATGATTCCGGAATCACTCCGCATTTTCGCAACCCGAGAATGGAATGGGAATGGAATTGGATGCCTTTTGCCCGGAATGGAATGGGAATGGAATGGGCCAGATTCTTCTTTTTCTTTTTTCTTTTTGTGTGTATGTGTGCTTACGGTCAGCTAAATCGAGCCAGTCAGCAAGTCAGTTGCTCAGAAATAAAATGAGTGGGAAACTGCTTGCCCGCATGGAGCCCTAGCAGACTTATGCGAAAAAAGTACAATACAAAAAAACAAATGTCAAAGCAAAGAGCAGATGGGGGTGGGGTGGCGGTGGCACCTTTCATGGACGCGCAGCCGACGGGCTTCACTGGCGTTACACGAGAGCGAAACAAGAAATCAAGCAAAAGAAACGAAAGGAGCGGCAAAGGTAGGGAACCGCCATGCACGACTCCTCATCTTCCTTTTTGTCTTTTTTTATTTATTTATTTTTTTGCAAAGGCAGCGAGAATGCACGCGCGCATACTGATATCTGGTAGCGGGGCGACTCATAACTCGCAGAGTTCTGATAACTGATTGACTCGTGCGCTGCCGAAGGATGATCAGTTATTTTTTCCTTATATATAGTTCGAGGAACGTTGTTAAGCAGGCGGCCAACCCTGCTGTCTGCCACGTTCATTCTCGCGCACTCCTTTGAACTGCGAAATGTGAATTTGCTTTGGCCTTAAAACAAAACGAGATTCACTTCTCTTTCTCCTCTTGCGCTTTGCTCCGACACGTTTTTTTATACTGCATTTTTTCGTGTAAGTCACCCTTTCACTTGGTCTTTGTTCCGATGCTTGTTTTCTGTGTTAAATGTTTTACATTCAAGTGGGTTAGGGTAACAAGCAAACTAGTAGATTCCCGTTCATTTCCTTTGACTTTAGTCTCTGCATACTTTGTTTCACCTTGCAATGGACCACTGCGGATGCTACGAGTCACCCCAGGCAATCCAGCACCGTGAGCAGGACTACACGCACGTAGTGTCGCGTGACCCTGGGGCGCGTTGCTGCGCTCCAGGGTCACGCGACACTCGGAAGGCACTGGATTGGTTTTGATGGCTCTCGTTCTGTCTGTTGCGGTCCATTGTAAGGGGAAGTAGACTATCGTCACTGCTCTTGTCGCGTGACCGAACTGACTAGACCTGCAGAAAAACAGTCCCGTGCCAGACGAGGCGCGACCATTGCTGTAAGGGCAACTGAGAAGGAGAGCTGGGTGCTAGCTGCTACTGAGGTTTTGGCTTCCGCGTGTCTCGGCTGTCCGGTTTGCATTTGTGCTCCTTGCCCTGGGCCCTGTTTGAGGCGGTGAAAAGTCAGTTGGACGGTGGTGTTGAGGAGAGACGGGGAATGTCAATTCGAACGGTGCGGTATTGCCCTGTTAATTGCATCTTGGTGTGAAGCTAGCTTTGTCGACGCCATGCAGAAGCCGGTTATTTTTATGGTCTTAAAAAACACACTGGCCGCGGATGTCTTAAATGTCAAATACAAAAAGCTTTTGAAAAAACTAAAAAGAAAAGAAAATGAGGGGATTTAAGCTTTGCTATTTGTAAACTAACACTTTCTGCCATTAACTTAGTAAAATCAGTGTTTTTTTTAGGCATTTAGCTTTTTTTTTTTCAATATTTTATGTGTTTGATAATGTCAGCTTTATGCTGCTTATGCCGGCAGCACAATGTAGCTGTCAAGTGCCAGTTTTCACGTTTAGGAATTGGAGGAATGGAATGGAGCAATTCAGCCATTCCAGGAGTGGAAATGGGCAAAGTGTACCCATTCCTAGGAGTTGAAAGAAATTGAATTATCGAAAACTCTGATTCCCCGGACCTGAAATAGAATGGAATGGGGGTGCCCATTCCGCAACACTGCAGCACACTCCCTTCGCACCCGCTGAACTGCGCCCTCATCACCTCTCTTCATGCTCGTCTTTGTCTGTGCCTATTATTCTCTCTTGTGCGTGTCCATTGCTCATCGCCATAGTTATTTTATTTTTCGTTTGGTTTATTAGGCCCTCTGGGGTGGAGCTCTGGCCTCTTAGACTCTCCTTCTTTAAATAAAGAACATCAATTATTCGACTTTTTCAAACTGTGAACTTCTAGACGTGTCTTCGGAAGTTGGGCCAGAGGATACGGCTCAAGCTGTCCTTCGCCCTCTTTTCAGGTTTCTGTTGCTCCCGGCATTGCTGGGATCCCTGAGCCAAAAGCGAGTTGGTGGCGACCGCTCCGAAATCCTGCGGCTGTCGGAGGTACGTCCCGGTCGTTTCTTGTCTTGGTCATCCGTAGTACGACGCCCAAAATGCAGCTCCGACCTCCGTGTTTACTGCGTCCTCGTTTGCAGTCCCTCAACTTCCTCCCGACAACGCGATAGATGCATCGCGCCGTCGGCCCTCGCAATTCCGGCTCGTGGGACAGCAGCACCGACGGTTACGGCGAGATGCCCGTTCTGCCGTAGGTGTCTCTCCAGCTTGACACTAGTAGACCGTTGTAGATTCGGCCACCGGGAGTCGAGACGCCGTGGCTCCCGGTAGCGAATTCTGTACGCCGCTGGGATCGCGACATCTGGTCCGACGTACGAGCTCCCGCGACGCGGTTTGTTGCCACTTCAGGAGGACTTGTGATGCACGCTAAACGTACGGGACGCCAAACACTTGGGTCGAAGGAGGATTTCGGGTGCCGCAAGCGTAGGGCGTGTGGTTGATGAGGGGAAGGGGGCGCGTTCCTCGTCAGGTGTACTTCCGAGACTTCCTGCACCGTTGTCGGCAGTATGGCCTCACCAGCCATGAAACGGCGGAGGCCAAGGAAGACGACGGCACGGGCGACGACGCCAGCACGAAGACAAGGAACTCCGGGAAGGAGAGCACGGAGAACCTTTTGGCCGCTTGCAGGTTGGTGGTTGGGCTCATTGCTATTTCGTTGGCCTTGTTTTTATTCCATGGGCCTCATTGCTATTTTTGTTTACCTTATCTCCATTCTGTCGGCTTTATTCATATTTCGTTGGCATTGTTGCTATAGCATCGGCCGTATTGTTACTTCATTAGGCGTAACGTTATTCTGTCGGCCGTACACCTATTCATCAGCCGTCCCCGCTTGCGAGAAATTTTCTCGGTACTTCGGTCAATAGGTTCATTTTCGCTGCCTGGCTTAAATTTGTGCGTCATTACAAATGAAGTCCGAAACGGGTTTAAAAGTATGCAGTGCTTCGACATTGCGCCTTTGTCCCCAGCAATTTACCTTAGTGCCGAATGCAAAGTATTTTTGTTTCGAGTTTGTTGGCAACAAGCTGCAACATGCAGTGAGAAAAAATGGAGAAATGCTGGTTGTCTACCGCTTTTTACTGGACTAATGAGGGTGAGGATTGACTTGACCCAAAACGTCAACAACAAAAATGAACTTTACTTTTGCTTTTTTCACAGTTGCATTTGCGAGAAAATATGACTGGTGTTAATGAATATATCTCCATATACAACTTGTGGTAACAATATCCTGCTTGCATATGATGATTTTATACTGTGGAACATGGTTAATAAGTTTTTCAGTGGACTGCTTAAAGGGGCCCTGGAAGGACTTTTTACTGTTTTTTAATTTGCACCGAATCTGAGCGCTTTGAACGTAGTAACTTAGTGAAACTTTTCTTCTCGCGAAATTCGCTTTATTTTAAAAGTTATAGGCAATTTAGAATTACAAAAACAAGCAAAAAATAACCTCCTTCATGACGTCGTAGGTCCTGGCTTGAGTGGCCGTGAACTAGAGGAGGAATAGTGAGCTCATCGAGCGCTCACGGCCGCCGCACTCCGTGTCGACGGCACCAGAGGGCGCCACTAAAGCATATTCTGGATAGGCTGTATGCAGCGGGCAGCCAAAGCGGCTTTCATTGCGTTTGCTGCGCGATTAAACACTAATTCGGCATGACACTTCATTGGCCACAAACGATAGCAAACACGGGGTAAAGATCAGTTCAGAATGGGAGCCACTTCGCGCTGCCATACCGCGAAACGGCCAAACCGCAAAATAAAGCCTCTCGCCGAAGGCCTTCGGAACGCTCGGAGCCGGTCGGATCCTCCTGTCCATACGCTTGCAGCGCCACCGCGTACATCCGGGATTTTTCCGTGTCGGCACCTTATCCCACTACTCCTTTCTAGTATGCGCCGCCTTTTCCACCGCTTGGCGGCGGGTATGTTGACGGGTCATTTCTTGTTTCCATACTTTGTAATCTGCATTTCTTTCTTTTTTTCACCTATAATAGTGAACAAAAACTACTTTTATAAATAATTGAAACGGTTCGTGCCACTTATGTTTTGTATTTCGACCAAAAAGAAGTTTTTAGTTGCTCGGACCAGTAGTAAGCCCAGGACCAAAGACGTCACATTTTGCGCGCTTTCGGTACCGCGGGTCGCCCTCGTCGGTGGAGGAGGTTTCCGTGTCGTCCGGTTAAAATATGGCGCACTGATATTTCGCTACTCTTTTCGTGCCCGCTGGCTTGCCCGAACCCCAAGAGACGTAGAAACCGCATAAAAGGTAGACGCTTAAATATGATTGCAGGGCCCCTTTAATATCAAATGGACATGATCCAGGAAAAATGTGACTACCAGTATACTACTGTGTGACCCAAGGAGCGGCTAGGCTCTTTAAATCAACTGCAAAATTCGGTTTCTTAACCTATCGCGCTACGATTTTGTGCAGTGTTGCCCACAGATGGTGCATGTTTTTTGTAAAATCTGCAAAGAGCAAACTTACCTGAGGAAAAAAAGTAAAGAAAGAAAACTTTGCTGCATTTCCTTTGTTTCGCTGCGTTTTCTGCGTTTCCTGCATTTCGCTGCGTTTCCATAGGAAACGCAGCGAAGCGAAAGGTCTTCAAACAATACGGCTCGCAAGTGGGCTCATTTTCATCTTGTGCGCATGAGAAAGGAAGTAGCGGTGACGTCAGAACGCCGAGCCCTGATTAGCTGATCGCAACCCCCTATCTGAGCGTCGTCTGCTCCTTTGCAACGTCGTCTGCGTGTGTCTCACCTTTCCTGCGACTTTCGGAAGTGCACTTCTTTACGAGCGAGCTCGACTTTGCCTTTCAGCGAGGGCAGACGAAATATCTCGAGCGGTATGTTGTTTTTGTCTAACAACTAGCAGACGCTCATCCAGGAGAGAAGTGGAAGGACTCACTGGCGAGGTGTCCCGAGGCGCCGAGGTTTGTTTGCTAAGAACCGAGAGTGAGCGTGTTAGTGTCTGCAAGTTCCCTCCGAAATACTTTTCCCTCCTTTCGTGTGCGGCAGGACCCCTCATTCTTTAAGGGCGTCGGCGGGTTGGCGCAGTTAACGTCGTCTGCTTTATGTCTGCTAGTCAAAGCAATGGCTGCTTTACCTTTCCTGCGTCTGTCGGAGATTCACCGCTTTTTCACCGGCAAGAGTCACTGTTGCCTCGGGAAACAAGGAGATAACAAGAGGAACAAAAGGGCACCATCTGTGGCAATTCTGCACAAAATCGTAGCGAGATAGGTTAAGACACTAAATTTTTCGGTCGATTTAAAGAGCCTGGCCGCTCCTTGGGTCACCCAGGAGTACTCTTTTTTTCAAGGGGCACAAGGTGGATATTGTAATTTTCTTTTGACAACGCAAACTCAATTTACTCTTTCTAAACATCCTATAAAACCCAAAAATCCAATCACGCTTCGCCTTTTGCCCTTTATGAGGTATACTGCGCTGCAAAGTTACACTGAACACGTAAACTGTGAAACAGTATGATTTCGGAAGGAGAGAGGGAGTGGCACGCTAGATGAAGGCATCCAGGAGGTTTCCGACAGATAACTAATTGCCACGCTACCATGCTTGAACACCAACAACATATCACTATGGCTTAGAAGAAACAACTGCTGCCTCCTGCTGGCTGACAAGACAGAAGAATTTGTCATCTTGGAACAAGGGACGTACAAAAGGAAAACCCCGGAATCCCTCCAAAAAAACTTGGAAGGAATGAAAAGTGATGAAGGAAAGAGGTATCAAAAGCACAAGTAGCACGACAGTGTGGAAAATTAGGCCTCAACACAATCACAAAGAAAGTTAAAGGAAGCCAGGAACTATGTCTGAGCCCCTTCTTTGCTGTAAAGGCACATAAGGAAGACAGCCCATTTCGAGTGATTGTAGAAGACAAAAGAACTTGGCTGCATGTGATTGCAAGGGGACTACAGAAACACCAATCACTTCTCCAAGTAGAAGATCCATTCTTAGCGTGCAACTCAGATGAGGTATGCTGATCGAATTTTTCCATCACTGCCTTTTCGGTGGATATGAAAGACATGTATTACAACATCCCAAAGAAAGGAGCACTAGGGGCAGTGGAAGAATGCATCGACGCATACGGCAGTGTGAAATTTTAAAACCAGAGTGGGATCAGCACAAAGGATTTCGTAGGTGTCAGGCCAACCTATTTATGTTCTTTGCACGTTATGCTAGAAAGGAAAGTATACTCGCAGAAAGAAGGCATATGCATAGGTTCATGCATGGCACCAGCCTTGCGCAACATTTATTTCATACGAGGCAATAGGACATTACGGCCATTTTTCTAGGAGAATGGATTTGAGGTGCTTCAGATACGTGGACGATTTTTTGGTATGCTTTTTGATTAACAAAATGAGGAACATGACGCGCACAAAGATGATGAAGATCTCCGAGGAAGTGCACAGAGGACTGGAGCATTCGAATCACTGGATAGAGGCAGCCTGTGGTTCTTGGATATCAACGTGACATTTGGGGAACGACACATATGCTGGATGTACAAGATGAGAGGGGAGAAAGGAACACTGCTGTACGACTCCGGACGCTCAAAGTTAGTTAAGAGGAACATCGCCTCAGGATGCTCCTCTTAACTAAGCCATAAGAAAATTGTGTTTCCACAGAGTGTCAGATGGCCTACAAATACAGATAAGCCAGCTACAAGGAAGCAGTTACCCAGAACCCCTAATGGTGGCTATAGCAGAAAAATGCATAAACACACTTGCAGGCACAGATAAAACCGAGGAGAAGAATGTAGACAAAAACCAGTTGTTGTGCTGCCATACATCCACAATTTTTTTTTGCACAGGATGAAAAAGATTGCAGAAAAACTTGGAAGAGTGGCCTTAGCCACCCCTTTCAATCTAAAAGGATTATGCAAGAAGGTGAATGAACTGGAAAGCAATCCATAAGGTCAAGCATTGTGTAGGGTGAAACACAGATGCAAGTTCGTTGAATGTACAGGAGGAGTTGTATACAAAATACCACTGACGTGGAGCAAATCATGCATGGGCTAACAGGGAGATGTTTAAGCGAGAGACTAAGAGAGCACAAATATGCGTGCAGGCAGCTGTGAGCACCTGGTAACCTCGCAGCACACTGCAAGATGCAGCGGCAAAGCTCTCCTTGAAACTCTTAGACAGATCACGAGACGGGACCAGGCATAAAATCATGGAAGCTTTTCACATGGCTTCAGGAAGGCATGGCACGTGCGTTAGTGAACCTTCAATAGTTTTGAACCAAAAATTAATAAAACTGTTTAAAAATATCCCGCAGCACAACACGGCAAACATCAGCTCCAGGGTACCAACAGCATAGACACACACCGTTGATACCAAATGTCTACAAATGACAGAAAAGACATTGACACCACCTGAGAATGTCAACTTTTGAACAACTCACCCAATCGGCGTGATATTTGCAGATGGTGTTCGTAGCCATACAGAAGGAGGGCATGCAAAGTTTCAGCCCTGTGAACCAATTTTTTTAGGTTCTATACCCCCAGAATGAAATAAGGCGTAGCTGTGCATGGAATCTGCTCAATGAATCTATCGTTGAGCAATGGTGTTGATAACCACATAATTTTTGGTGGAATGCATGCTGGAATTCCTGTTGCTAGTTATTAT